TTTTCTTTCTTTCTTTCTTTTATTTATATCAATCTCTTAGTAACACAAGATTCACTATCTAAAATCCTAACATCATTCCAATTAAAAGAATAATTTTCGAGATGGTGCATGAGAAAAACATACAGAGAATCGCTCTTTTTATTTATATCTATTAAATGTTCATAAAATCTAATTTCTAGCTTTTTTTTAATTTGTTCTATATATGCAGTATTATAATCACTGCAACTGATGTTATAAACAATGTAGCAGTGAGAAAGACAGTCTAATTTATCTTTCCTCGTATTGTAACTTCTTAAAAAATTAGCGAATAAGCAATTTTTAAGTTATTCTTTTCAGCAATCAATCAGAGTTTCTTGGAAATATTTTTCACGTAAGAAACTGTAAAATAAAAATTATATTTCATACTTAGATCATTAATATCATCCATAAATGGATTATTCATTTTACAAAAAGAGGTATTTCAATCTATCGCAAAAAGTAGATGTAATTAAATCCAATGGATAGCTATTATTTAATAAAATGGTAATAGAATTTTGAAAATTCTTAGCGTAAAATTGTGGATGTAAAAAAAAGTTATTCTATCCACCAGATCATATAACAAATATCTCCTTTGATCAAATAAATAGTGAGAATTATAATTGAGATATCTTCCAGAAAATATAGATTATGAAAGCAATCGAAAATGATTTTCAATTATTCTTAACTATGTTCAAGAAAACTAAATCGATCAATCTTTATTTCCATCATAAATTATAAACGTTCATGTAACAAATCAAAAGTTTGTAATATAATATTTAGCATGCTCGATGACGCTCCAAAAATTATATCGTTCACATTTCAGTAGTAAAAGAAAAAGACTAAAACGATAAAACGTTCTATTGCAATTTCCTCTAAATTTTATATAATATGATTAGCAATGAGCGAAAACGGAAATCCATAGATGTGTCAAAGATTTGTTTATATACTTGTCATAAAAATCAGAAAAAGTGGAGTTGATAGATGAATAGCTATCATGAATTTTATTAAGGAAAATGGTCGTACGATAAGAAATTAAATTCCATCTCTTGATAACACTTTGTACCAACCAAGTTTGTTGGAATATTGATAAAAAATGAAACCGCATTCAGAAGAGAATTTGATTCCTTAGAATTTGATTCCGACTACAAAAATTGAGTTTTTCAACTCACAAAATGGAAACCATCAATATGACTAAAAAATTTTAGCAATTATTTAAGCAAAATGTTATGTAAAAACAAAACTAAAGAATGTAAAGGATTGTTAATAGGTGCAATAATAATTCTAACAGGATTATCCGATTTGTGGATCTTTGGCAAACTATAAACTCTTGACATTCTTCTTCTTGATATTCTATCACTCAATAAGTTTTTATAAATTAGATCGATATAATCATCCTTCTTACATCTTGAAAAAAGAGAGCGAGCATCAACTTAACTATTTAGTGGGATTTTCAAACAAAACTTTGTTTTATTCATACACTTATTTCATGTCATAACCACACATATATATAATTCTGTTTTATGATGACTGTCAAGTACAATTTCCTTTCTTAACTTTACCATTACAATATTTTTTACAACAGAATTCCTTCTTTTACTTGTAGAGCAAGTGGACTGTATGTTTATCCGTCCACATTTTACATACTTCTTCTACTTTTGTGATATATAATTTTACGTTTTATAATTTTTATTTCTATTAGTCTAATACTGAAATAGTCTAATACTGAAAATGACCACATTTAAAGTCGAAACATATGTGCTTGTTTTTGTTCTTATACATATATATTTTATTTATAAAATACTTATTATATACACTGTTTATAAAATATTATCCGTGCTTATATTCTGGACTGGCTCATATTAGTTTTTTATCTCGTTAATTTTGAAATAAATAAACTTTGATAAAGAAATCAAAGTATAAAAAAGATAACAATATGACTTTTAACACTTTTATGAAAAAAACCTATTTGTAATTAACATTTTTCCTAAATAATAAAAATTTTTGATTATAAATATTTCCTGCAAAAAAATACCAAATAGGAATATTTTATGTTACTGTAGATATTGAATAATTTATATATACATAAAATATAAAAAATAATGTTAAAGTGTATACATATATATATATATGTGCGTGTGTGTGTGTGTGTGTGTGTGTGTGTGTGTGTGTGTGTGTGTGTGTGTGTGTG